CTAATAATCGTAATTATAGAAGAAACACTTACTCCTGTAAGGAAACTAACCACCATTCCCATTGGTATTGCAAAATTTGTTTTCACTGCGTGAACCCTTATGACAACTATATTTTATCTTCAAATGAAAATACTTCATGTGAATGTAATAAAGAATATCAAGAATTCTCTGACTACATCAATGAAGAAAGTTATTCACTCTCAGAATCAAATAAAAGAAATATGTACTAACATTCACACAATGATAGTGATTCCGAATCAAACTATAGTTCAGAAAACAATAAATCCCTTATCAATGGAAAAAGACATGATTGGAGACAGGACATGCACAATATTTATTTACAAGCTGTTGAATTTAAACAAGTTACTGTCAAACAAATGAAAAATAATGCTCTAGTTGAAACTAGACAAGATTATTCTGTCAATTGTACTTTCTGTGGAAAGATTATTACAATGGAATTAGAATATAATTATACCGTTTGATATGGATTAGGACAAATCCATTCTGAAATGAAACCTGAAGCCTTAGTTAACGAAGTATTTTGGGAAATACCAGAAGCAGTACAACAACAAGACAAAGCTCATCATAAGGCACATTATTTTCAAAATGAGAACGAATGGACACAAGAAGAATTGAATAAATTATTTGATAATTATGAACCCCTTATCACCCCTATTTCTAGTTACATCACAACCCCTAACTTAGATTTTTAATTATATCTTATTAAATCATATTTTATTTTCTTACTATTATTTCATATTTTATTTATACTTTATTAAAGAGATAACACCTAGTTGAATAGCATCTAGTAAGTGAAAATCTCATATATTATTATTATAATTGAGTGAAAGCGTAAGTGTAAGCAGTGTGACTTACAGCTCAATTATTCAACATGGACATACAACAATATTTCAATATCCAACAATACTTAACTCATAACAAATATCCTGATCATATTCAAACTAATAAGGAGAAGAAAAGGTACAAATATGGCTAAATTCTTTACTATTCAAAATTCAAAATTGTATCATTTTGATAGAAGAAAACCTGGACATTTGCTACAAGTCCTCAAACGATATGAATTGGAACCCATCCTTTATATGATGCATAATGATCCAACAGCTGGATATTTTGGGTGAGAAATAATGTTCAATAAAATTAGGATACGTTATTATTGGCCATAGATGTATGAAGACATTAAGGAATATGTCAAAACCTGTGATTCTTGTCAATGAAGAGGAGGACCAAGCAAAAATAATAAACTACATCCCATACCACCTCATAGTCCCTTTTATCAAATAGGAATTGACTTTATTGGTCCTTTACCTATAACTCCTCGAGAAAATCGATATATTATCATAGCTGTTGATATGTTCACAAAATGGCCAGAAGCAAGAGCTGTTGCTGAAGCTACTGCTAGCCAAGTTGCTCTTTTTCTTTACGAAGAAATTATTTGTAGACACGGATGTTCTATAAAGATTCTATCAGATCGAGACACTCATTTCAACAATGTCATGATAAAAGAACTAATAGATAAATTTAGAATCAAGCATCATAATTCTACGCCCTATCACCCACAAACAAATGGACAAGTAGAAAGGTTTAATAAAACTCTAAAATAATCCTTAGCAAAAATTATAGAAAAGCAAACTTAATGGGACTTACACATAGCTTCTGTGTTATTCGCGTATCAAACAGCCTAACAATCAACTACCAAAATGACACCTTTTCTGTTAACATATGGAAGAGAAGCAAAACTACCTCTTGACGATCATATTGACCAGAAAAATAAAAATTTGATCGACAGAATTCGACAAATCATAGAGAAATTACCTGATATTAGAGAAAAGCAAAACAAATAATGATCGCTATAAAGAATAAACAAAAGACAGCACATGATAAATATTTGGCTAAGCCAATATCATTTGATATAGGACAGAAAGTTTTGTACTATGATGCTGCACGAATTAATCAATTCTCTGGCAAACTAGAACCTAAATGGAAAGGATCTTATCGAATTCATGAGATTTTGATAAATGGATCTTATCGTCTAAGAGAGATAGATGGACGCCTTCTTGCTAAACCAGTAAATGTTGATCTACTAAAATTATATCATGATCAGCAATCATGGGAACCAATGGTAGTGATTACATAAGCAATAATTTTTAACGAATATAAATAGACCCTAAATCCTTAAAAATTTAGCAAATAATGGAAAATCTCTTTAATGATCTCATTCAATTGGAACCCACCCTTGTGCCTGAGTGGAATAAACCTTATCACAAAATGGATAATCCTCGAACTAAAGCTCGAAAATTGCAACAACAATTTTGATGTTGCAAAAATTTGAAAAATAGACTTGAAATGTTAATGAATATGTATTTCATTGGAGAACTCTTAGACTCATTAGAAGATGTAGATTATAAATGAGTAAAATTAGTTTTAAGCCCATATCAGTATGAAGTATCAAATAAGACCTTTATTTTATTTTCAGAAATTGGAATAACTCAATTGCTTAGAACTAAAATGTTGACGACCACACAAATGAAACGCCTCACAAAAATTGAAATCCAGAACTTGATTTCGAGGACGAAATTATTTCTCACTACGATGTTCGAAATTCAAGTAAGGAAGGATTGTTAACAGAGTAATTGACCAGTCATAATGAAATCACGTGGATGGCGCAGTATGACAATCTTTTAATTCAGAATTCTGAAAATACTGAGAATTCTGCGAATTCTGAAAATACGGAAGATCTACGTAATTCTAAAGATCTTCCAAATACTGAGGATAATTTTAATTTTGCAAATTAAACGAAGTCTAAGAACATTTAGTGTTATACGTATTTTTTAATATTCTTAATTTTATTCTTATTTTTAGTATATTTTATATTTTTATTATTTCACGTATTTTATTATATTTATTTTACTTATATTTTATTTTGCTAAATTAGTTAATTTATAGCATAATAATTAGTTAGCTGTATCAAAAGAAATTTTGTATAAATAGATAGACTTTTTGCTTATGTTGTAAATTAACTCTCTTGCGAATACGAGTTTCAATATTAATAAAGAAATCATTTAAAACTTATATCTTTCTGCCTCTTCGTGTCTTCATATATCTGACGTGATCCCTACACATTATTTATAATTAAGTTCGTCATTCGAATTCTTTAATTAAATTGTTTATAATCTCGTCTTTCAAGTCTTCATACTTGATAGATTTTGTTTAAGCCTAACGCGTAAATTTGGTAAAGTTAAAAGTTAGGCAGATTCTAACGTCTTAACTGCAGTATACCGCAGTTAGAAATTTTGAGTAGAGACTTGATAATGTGACCACCCTGAGCTGAAGAATTCTACGGTAACAGCATATACTATAGATTGGATAATCTAAATTATTTTTAATGTATAATAAAAAAATTTGTATTATATGAGATCTCTCTAGATCCTGTCAGTTTCTGCAACTTTCTCACAACTTAAATTACGAGATAAGCTATAGATCAGCTATTCAGATTTTGTACAATAATTAAGCTATCATTTAACTGTAGAATAGTATTTTTATGTTAATAAAAAGTGAAGCAAATATAATTAATAAATATTAATATCACTTATAAAATATAACATGCTTAAAAATCAAAGTTGCAAATTAATTATAAGGATGACTGAGGATAATTAAAGGCTAAACATTGGACTCATTTTTATTCTCTAGAATCAAAATTATGTAATATTTATAAATTGTGCATGCAACAGCTATTCAGGTTATTAAAATCACTAATTTATATTCAAAATAAAATATAAATATTCAGTTTGTATTTCACAGTGATAAAAATGCCATATTTTATTTCAACAATTATAATCTAAAAATTAAATTCAAAATATATGGGTTGTTTTATTAATAGTATTAATCAAAAGTAAAATATGCAATTTGTACAGATAATTTGAATGCAATTATTTAAAGAATTTGTTTATTCTATCATATTATCTATTATTTAGAAAATATTTTTTTACTATTAAGAAGATTCATATTATTTACGTTCTTCTAATTTCAACTTTAGTTTGAAATATATAAAAATATTATTGAAAATTAGCCTGACTTTTCTTCTTTTTATTTGGTAAACTGACGTAATTGTAAATTCGTATAGTAGCCATAACTGCAAAATTCTTGCCTATTTTTATTTTTGTTCTTTTTGCTTTTGAGTTATTTTTACTTTCAACCAATAACATAATTCTCTTGATTATTCAATATCAAAGTAAAAAATTCTAAGTTGTCTCTAAATTGTTCAACTTCTTTTACTATTTGATATAACAGTATCTTCATGTGACATATATATCTATTTGAATTATTAAGTTATATTAATATCATTATTAATTTTAAAGAATAACAGAATATTGTTAAAAACATACTGTAAGTACAAATAAAAGTTTAAATATAGATACAAACTGACATGAATTCAGCTAATTACTTCTATTTACTTTATTCTTTTGGTTTTCTATCTTACAAAAATTGAAAAATATATTCTTTAAAATCTTAAGACATTTAAGTTCTCTTTCCTTTAAGATCTTTGTATTATTCATTCCTTTATAGAATCTCCCAGCTTCTAAACATCTGTATTCATGTTTATTTTTCCTAATAATTAGATCACTTCTATATCTAATCTTTTTTCTTAACAAATGGATGATTCCTTATAAAATTTGATGACGATTCTTTCTATTTGTGCTCATATGATTACATATCTTATCACAGGTATTATATATATTATTCAAATCTGACATCAAGTTGTTAATGAATTTCCAGAAATGAATGAGATACTAGTTTTTATGTTGATCAAATCTTAAATTACTAGCATCATATTCGCTTATTCTTAGTTAGTTAATTATATAGGAAAAATATTAATGTAAACTTGAATTATTATTTTTAAGATTATATACTCATAGGTTATACATTGATCTTTTTATCTATTCAAAATTAAAATGGATGCTCTTATTGTAATTGCTCCCTTCCTAAGGTTTCTTTTCTACTAGGACTTTCCTTAGCTTTACTAATGAATTCTTGAATTAAAAAATAGAAGAATTAGATATCAATATATGTAATATATGTGTAAAGAAGCATGCATTAAATATTTGTACTTTCACTTTATTATATTTTAAGAGATATATAAGAAGATTATCTGGTACTTCAGAAAATTCTTTACTGTTATAAGACCAAATTTTATCAAGCTTTTTTTTAGTAAATATTGAATTATACGTTTCATCATTCAGGTCAATAATGAATGAGTAAGACTTGTAAAAAATAACTTTAGAATTCAATATTGACAAGATGAAAAAAATAATGATAGCAATATAAGATTAAATAAGCAGTTGAGTTACTTACTGTTCATAATTCGTGATCATTGAAAAATTAAATAATGCTTCTTCGACATATTTGTCTATTAATAGATGCCATTTTGATTGGGTTTTTATTTTTTGGTATGTACAAACTATCTTCTCTTTCATTTCCATTGACACTAATGATGAGAAATGAAACCCCTTAATAATAAGCAAAACTTAGATAAAACTATATTAAAATTATAATAAGGGATACAATGAAACCCTTTCGATACGATGAAAGCTGAAACTGTCGAAACTATATTAAAAACATAGAAAAGGGTATGACGAAATTATTTTGAGAAGGTTTCGGCAGGCATCTATAATTGACACTTGAGAAGATTTTATAGAAACTGAATCTGTAATGTCATCATCTTCAGGTGAAAAATAATCTGAGTCCATAGTATAATCATTTTCAGATGATGAAGAATCTAAAACTGCACTGATTGCAGATACAATGGGATCTTGTGATTTATATTTGACCTAAAAAAATAGAATCATACCAATTAGCAATTATTCAATCTTGATTGCTCTAAATAGTTAGAAAATTATGCCAACTGGACAGTTTACTTTAATATGAATATTATACGTTGCTTTTCTTGTTTTTCTTGTTGTATATTTTGCTAAGTTTCTTAATAAAATGGATTAATCCTTTTGCAGAAGGACTATTAAAGAACTGATTAATCTCGTCATTCGAATTTTATAAAAATAAAATTCAGTATTGTGAAATATAACATAAAAATAATATTGGATGATCAGAAATATCACAAACTTTACATTATCCTCTTCCGCACTTTGTTTACTCTTTTCGAGATTATCCTAAAGTGTTAAAATATAAAAAAAAAAGAGTGAATTTTATCAGATAATCATCATTCTATCAATTCTCAGCGTCTAGATAAATAATTACACATCTATACCTTTTTCAACACTATGTTTTTTTTTTGTTTTCTAATGCGATAAAGTTTAAATTCTTACTTTGATCAAGAGCGTAGTTTAACTAGAATAAAAGTATTAGTGTAAACTCTAAAACAAAGATATTTATACGGGGAACAGTAAAAATCTTATATCTTCTGATTCGATCTGGAATAACTTTAGTTCATTATACATCTTGACGTGTTAGATATCTTGTCATAGATCTTGAATTTTTTTATGACTTTCCTAGAATTTCTCAACTTCCAAGAAACATTTAATGCTCTAGAAATTTAAATATAGAACTTTACAATAATACAAAACACATCACGGTTACTGCTGACGGACTGTAACAAGCTCAGCGACTCAACATTAGATGACTCAGTGATCACGCTAATGTGTTACAGCAATAGACTTAGCGATCCTATCAAAAGCTCAGAAAGAAAGTTTTGGCCTACCAATAAAACTGAATATTACAGGTATGGTTGACAGACTGTAACAAGCTCAGCGACTCAACATTAGATGACTCAGCGATCACACTAATGTATTATAGCAATAGACTCAGCGATCTTACCAAGGCAATAATAATCCTTGGCCTGCCAACAGAACCAAAAAAACAAAAACAAAAATTCATACTTTCCAGTTGTCGAGTAGCATCTGCGCCCTTTGTGCATTGGTGTTTTTTTGTCTTTTGCAATATTCCGGAGAAAAGATTTGAACGCACTATGCTTCTTGCTTCTATATATAAGATGAGTAGTTTTAGATTTCCATTCTAAAAAGCCGATAAGAGACCATTCAGAAGGTTCAATCTCAGTAAAATAACTGTATCCTGATTCTTGCTCCATAGAGATATTTTGCTTAGGGAGATAAAACCAAATTTTTGAAAACGTGGGTATTTCTCGCTAAATTTGGCGCAGCTGTCAAATTATCTATCTGTCTGTTTATATCACAATCGGCAAATCAAATTAGACGCGATTTCTACCACTACTATATTATTACACGCAAATAATGCTAACTCATAAATTGGTATAATTATTAAATCTGTTAATACGTGGCAAGAGTAATAATCATGATGTTTATCTAAACAGCTTGGATTGAAAGGGAGTCGTTTAAAAATATCCCCTTGAAATTTTAGGTGCAATTTCAAATTCGGTTTTTTTTTTTTTTTGATTGAATCCTTTCAATTCATAATTTTAGCGAGGGAAAGGAACATTTGAAAAATAAAAAGAGGTGCAGGCATGAAATCTGTTTTTTATTAAAAATGTTTTTGCAGAGAGATTAACGTTTGTTTTGTCTATTTAATGATTTATTTATATTAGAATGATTATTGAATAATTTGTTGATTGGAATTTAATTCCGAAAATCTACATTAATTCTAAATTCAAATAATACTAAATATAATTATCCTCAACTGTTTAATAATGATAATGTAAGGCGGATTTTTTGATAAAGAAAGATATATTTCTGGAAAATATATCTTAATTCGTTTTAAGCGAACCAACCACCTATGTGTTGATTATTTTCATTTCGGTTTTGACGTAAACTTTTGAATACAAACGCGACATCCCATATAAAAGTTCTCATTTGGAATTTTGGTAGAATAGCTTAAGCTGAACGAGAGCAGACGATATTATAATGGTACAGGTAATATTCAAAACAAAATTTAAAAATTGACATTCTAAAACTAGTTTAAAATATATTATGTAGTTTGACTTTAATAATAATTTTCCAAACCACTCTACCAAAAAAAATAAATGAAAATGAAAGCGGAATCTTTAATAAAACTATATTAATCTATGCGTAAAAAAAAATAATTATAATCCAATGTTCTCCAAAATACTAAAATCCAGGTACAAGAAATACGAAATATATACATCTCATCCGCTTTTCTTAGCATAGAATAAAATAATACGTTACGAATTTGTTAATTGTAGGAGTTGGGGTTAATATTTTAAATATACAAATAAAGGTATTTTGCGATTATGGATTTAAATGTAATTTATTCTTTCAGCTGATACTTTTTCAGGATGGAGTAGGGGTTTTTCCTTTTGCCGGTCCTTTGGCAGGCCCTGGATCTTTCGCTTTTGCCGGTACCTTGGCAGCCTCTGGGTCTTTTCCTTTTGCTGGTACTTTGGGTTCTGGATCTTTTCCTTTCCCACAATTTCCTACGGATGCTATAAACGAGATAAAAAATTTATTATTTTATTTTTTTTCTTTTTAGTTAACAGAAACAAAACATCAGACATAAACGTTTTAAGATTGCTCACGTGGAGTTTCGTTTGCACCGGGATTTTTGAAAGGATTAACTTGCACATTGATAACATTCGTATTTCTTTCAATGATTTGTTTCATGGTAACAGCTTTAATAGCCGCAATTTCTTGTGCTGTAAATTCCTTTCCTTCGTACCAAAATCTATCACCCATACGTTTCTTTTCAAATTCTTCTCGAAGTATGTTAGTGATCGTTGGTGGAAGTGGAGATGTTGAGGCCTGTTTATCTTCCGCAAACATACCAACTATTGCGTCAATAAAGTTCACTTTTTTATAAAGGTATTGAAGGTTTGACGCTAAAGTTGCATTTGATGTTATTACTGAGAAACATTCAACGGGATCCTCAGCTGCATTGATGTCACACGCTCGGTTATTATATACGTCTCCTGCTGGATGATAGGCCGTTCGATATACATTATAAGGTTGAAGTCCATTCAATCGGCCTAAGAAAAGTTTTTAAAAAGAGATTAAAAGGTTTTGATAAATATTAAAAGAATTTTTTTTAAAAAAAAAAAAAAATAATAAATATATATTCACCTCTTGCAATATCTATAGCGAATAAATCGATGATACCAGGCATATGCCTGAGAGCATTAGAAAACATAATATCAAATTCTGCAGTCGGTTCTCTCAACATACTGGTGACAATGTTATCAACACCGTTACCGGTACCAGAGGCCAAAGCGATCATACGAGCAGGCGTATAGTCCAATTGTTCACGCGTTAATCCAGAGTTTGGCGGGGGATCGACGCCAATAGATCTACCAACGTAAAAGAACCTATTTGGATGAGAACTTGTCGATTCATAATCCGGATGTAAAGCGACCAATTCGCCGGTACAACCATCAACGATGTTATAAGGACGAACATTAGAATGACCATAGCGAAATGCCGCGGTCGAGAAATAGGTAGTTGTATCGACGTAAATGTTTTCATCGTAACCGGCATATTGGGGCATCCTAAATCCGATTGCGGCGGGTAAATATTCATCAAATACCACATGTTGATATTCCGCTATTGTAATTCTACGTGCCCTTTGATAAATCTCCTCATCTTTTCCCGCCAAATCAGGATTTTCTTGGAGTATTTTTTGTGCTTGAAAGTTATGTTCCCTTATCCAAATCGTATGAATGATGGCCAGTTGAATATTTTCGGAAGCTCTAGTATCACCACTAACCATCGCATCCAAAACGTTGATTTGCGGTGCAGATAAATTTGGAAATATATCCGTCTCCTGTGGGCTTGGTGCCATGTTCGCTACCGTAGTGTTTAATATCGCTTTATTATATACACCACCGTTTGTCACATAATTCGACAAACTCATCATCCCATTTTCTCGAGTTCGTAATTTCATCGCATCATCATCATTATTTCCGTATATGTTGGAGAGGTCAAGGTACGAGTTTCCTTTATTCACTGGGTAGAGCGTTGAATTTATTATTCTTCCAAGTGAAAGGGTTATCGTCATATCTTGATATAAAACGAAAGAAAAAGGTTAGCCTCGGACGGATATTCTTACACCAGGTCTCATTAACCTACATGGGCTTTGAGTAGGATTCCACATGTTATTGCTCTGGTTGTTAAATACAGGGTCGGCGGATGTATCGGCGATAACGAAACCAGGTACGTCACTTTGAGTCGCAGCTTCCTCAAGGTCATGATTAATAAATTGTCCAAAGAACTGTATGACATGAAGTTAAAAAAAGTGAGTCATCAACCAATTAAAAGCTTTTACCGTTCCGATTAAAACTCCCTACCCACCGTTTCAAATACAGTCTTCCTGGTGGTGGTTAAAATATCATCGCCCAATGGGTTTCCGGTAAATGAAGGGGGTTGACCGCTATCCGCCAACAAATTACTTATAAGTCTAGTGTCAATTAATGATACGGGGGAACCGGTGAAATAATCATCATAATATGGGTCAAAGAACCCACGATCAAATACACGATTTATAGCACCCCAATTGGTATGCACCAAGTTGTTGCAGGTCCCATCATATGAACGAGTTTTAAGATCCGTTCCATTACATATCCATATCGGAGGTACATCATCTAATAAACTCCCATCCCCATCATCATATGCTTGTTGTATAGAAATTGGAATGAAACAACTTAATGATATGACGATGTATAGTAAAACATCGTATTTAAATTTAAGTTCAACCATTCTAATTAATATAATATATATATATAATTATATATATTTAATATATAATTAAAGATATATATTTATATAATCAAAAAAAAAAAAAAAAATTTAAAAATTTAAAAATTCAAAAAATAAATTTTTTTTTTTAATAAAAATTTGAAAATAAAAATTTAAAATTTTGAAAGAAAAATTGTTCCGTTTTTTTAATAGAGTAGTTTTATATTCTTTTTTTTTTGCATTGTTTATTTCTTCAAACATATTACAAAGGCTTTTTTTTTGCATTCTATTTATAAGAAGAGTACATGCATCTTTTGATATTAAAATAGCTTAGGTCATCATGATTTTGGAAGATTAAGTTTCCCTTAAATATGTGTCTATTCTTGGTTTATTATTTGACACCTTTTTATTACCCATTTCTATACATGGCAAATTTATTAAATTTAACTTTCTCAAACTCCGTCAAAAATATTAACACAAAGTGTAAAAATATCCTCGGTTCACTATCTATCGTGGTCTGTTACACGGACTAAATAGTGCATCAAACTGATATTGTGTTCAATTCAGAAATCATTTATATAAATATTAAACAATTTTAAGAGACAAAAACGCGAATTTTAATTTAATTTTAATTATTAATTTTAACGTACGATACCATGAATCACGGTAATCATGAATTCCCTAAATCCGACCATGATTTTAAGCATTTCAGGTTAGGGTAATTGTTGGTATATAAAGAACCCAAAAATAAAAAAAAAGTTTTTTTATATATAGATTTTTTCTTGCCGAAGTAATCCCGACAAAACCGCTTCGAAGGCAAATCATAATCACCTTTAAAGTAAATCACAATAGTTTACCTTATCAAAAAAAAATTCAACCTAACGAATATCGTAAAGTTTATTCCGACAACTGATCGATTATTCACAAATCTGCATGATGATATATGGTCGCTTTCAGATAAAAGATATTTTTTAATTATATGTATGAAATGTTATAATTTTTTTTCTGATGAGTATGATTATTTTTTGAAAAAAAAAAAAAAAAAAAAAAAAAAAAACGAGAAAATAAAAAAAAAAGGGGGCAACCACTTTATTGTAGAATCAGAATCAAGAAGTTGTGTTACATGAAAATCTCTCATTCCTAAAAATGAAGGTTTCATTGTGTAAATGAACTAGGATGCTACGATTCATGTGATTCATGTGACTACAATCATTCTGTTAATTTCGGCCAGAATTAAGAATCTTTGTGTTCATCCATGTAAAAATATTTTACATTTTATTATTATTTAATTTTTCTCGAATTCAAATGACAAAGTCTGATAATGCTCAAGGAACTTCTGCTGTTCGGTAAAACAAGCTTTATTTTTCTTAGAATATCGAAACCCTCTAATAATTTTGATTTTAGATTACAGATAGATACTCCGAAACTTGAACAATATCTGTCAACAAAGGTTTCAAAGTTCAAAATTCCGTTGGAAGTTCGACAATTTAAATTTGGACAAAGTAATCCGACATATCTATTAATCGACGCAAAGTAAGTTCTTGCGCAACTCCCCCATTTTTTAAAGGTTTATTATACATATTTATATTTTTTTCTTGTTAATTTAGTAAAACACGATATGTCCTTCGAAAGAAACCACCGGGCGCATTACTCTCAAGTACCGCCCACGCAGTTGAACGAGAATTTCGTGTCTTGGATGCATTAGGCAAAAATACTGACGTTCCAGTTCCTAAAGTTTATCACTTGTGTGAAGATAATTCAATTTTGGGTACCCCTTTCTACGTAAGTAAATCTTTTTTAAATTAGAATCATTAGGAATATATCAAATACATGTTAGAATCTGAATGACTGGCCTTTTCTAGGTAATGGAATATTTAGAGGGAAGAATTTTTGAAGATATTCTATTGTTATCACTTTCACCAGAAGATCGACATAAATGGTATCTTATAATTCATATCGATCTTGCCACCTTTACTTATTAAAACAAAAGAAAGGATCTTGACACTTGCAAATTTCTTTAGCTGGTATGCAGTTATTGATACATTGGCCAAGCTTCATTCGGTTGATTATAAAGCAATCGGATTATCAGGTTATGGAAAATCTTCAGGATTTTATACACGTCAAATTCGTTCCTTGGTTAAAGTGTCAGCCGCTCAAGCTGCTGTTAAAGATGACAGTGGGAACGAAGTCGGCTCGTTACCTAGACTTGATGAAATGATTAGTTGGTTTAAAAGGAATTTGGTTGATGACGAGGCCACCATTATACACGGAGATTTTAAGGTAACAATCAAAATCTTTCAATTTTATGATTTGAAATCGATAAACGGATGTTAACATCAGAGATTTATTTATATTCATTTAGCTAGATAATTTGATCTTTCATCCAACAGAACCGAGAGTCATTGGAATTTTGGATTGGGAATTATCAACGATCGGACATCCTTTATCGGATTTAGCAAATTTATTAATGAGTTTCTATGTTAAGGAGGGTTTTGAATTGCTCATAGGGTTATTAGACAAGCCTGATTTACCTATTCCTTCGGCCGATGAATTGATCAAAACTTATTGTGCGAAAGTAGGAAGAAGTTATCCCATACCAAGATATAAATTTAGTATCGTATTCTCATTTTTTAGGGTAAGCCCATTTTTTTTTTTAAAAAAAAAAAAATGATGCTCTTCTTGTCCCTTTGTTTATCGATAAATTTATTAATATAAAATTTTTGAATTTGTTAAATTTGCGAAATCACAGTTGGCTGTAATCACTCAAGGTATTGCAGCTAGAATTGCTAGGAATCAAGCTAGCTCTACCGAAGCTAAAAAATATGCAAGATTATTTAGACCTCTAACCCTTCGCGGTTTACAAATCATAGATGAATGTGGTGATTTATCATCAAAGAGTAAACTTTAAGTATGATGAACGGAAACGCATTAAATAAAAAGGATCCTTTTGTTCAAGTCATCTTCTTAAACTCTACAATTATCGATTTTCAATAACATTATATCTTTAGCGCCGATCTCCTCCAATTTATCCATAACTTCAGCAGCGTCATCCTTTCCAACCATACTTTGTACCTCAACCCAATTACTATTCTCCAAAGGACTGATCGTGGGAGCCTGACGACCTGGTGTAAGTTTTGTCGCCTTTTTAAGATCATCTCTTGAAATATTATAATTTAGCAAAACGTACTTCTTTGCTGCTATCACACCTTTGATGCGAGAAGTTATTTTAGAGACTAGAGATGGGTTGGTAGGATTTTTATTTCGAATCAAAATGGCTTGTGTTTCGAGAACTGTCGAGATGGCTTTTAACCCGGCCACTTTCATTGTTTCTCCCGTTTCTAAAGAAATAAAGTTTGTTAAGCAAAGGGTTTGTGAAACATTTTTTAAAAATGATTTTACAACTCACCAACTAAATCGACTGTAAACAATTTGTAAGAAAAAAAAAAAAATAAAATATATATATATATATATAAATTTGAAGTTGGTAAAAATAAAATTACTTACTGATACCATCGGCCAATCCAAGCGCGCAAGCAGCTTCAACGCTACCACTAACGTATTCGATTTTAGTTTTTTTGCCATCAGCCTTTTCTTCATCGGTTAAATACTTTTGATCTCGTTCAGCAAAATATTTGGCGGCTAATACATCGAAGCTCGTTACAATTGTTTTACCAACCAATTCTTCGATATGATTTATACCACTCTTTATAGGTACTTGTACTTGTAATTTACAACAACCGAAACCTAATTCCATGATTTGATCAACCTTATCGGTCACTTGACATTCTTCCACCATATCTTGTCCTGTTATGCCTAAATCAACATTTCCCTCTCCAACGAATTTTGCTATGTCGGGCGCCGGAAGAAACACAAGTGCGATAGGTAAATTTTTTACTAATGCGATATCTAATCTATTATAACGATGAAAGTTTATATCGGCCCCCTTGAGCAATGAAACACAATGTTCATGAAGTCGTCCTTTTTTTGGTATTGCGAATAACAAACGATCGGGAAGTTGATGGATTAAATCCATTTTTTTTTAAAAAAAAAGAAATTATTTTAAAAAAAAAAAAAAAAAACCAAAAAAAAAAATAATTAAGGAAAAAAAAAATTTCTTTATACGGGTAATGGTTGCACGACAATGAAAATATTTGTGCCATCTAAGCCACGAGATTATGCTACGCCAAATAATTTTTACCTTCCGCACAAGAAGAAAGATATCTCCTCAACGTGTCGAACTAAAATGTAATGAAACTAGCTTTCTTATAATTGACGTTACGATATTTTCCGTAATTATATTTTGAATCCTTTGAATCATTGAACCAAACAAAAAAAATACATTAAAAAATGGATTTATTTGATATGAAAAAGTCGAAACTCTTTGATGAAACTACATTTTTGTTTTTAAAGCATCTATTTCTCCAAGTGATACAAATAAAATTCAAATTATCGAAGATGATATTCGCTCCTTTTTGATGAAATCAGCATTAATAAATAGTAGGTATCCTAAACCCCTTTATCATGGGAGTAGCAATTTGGATAAATTTAATACCTAGTCTAGTCTTACAACATACAACCTAGTAAACTTTCATACTTTCATATGAGGATGAAACAATAAGAAAATTCATTATGGATATCAGGTATCAGATCCTTATGAAATATATAAATCGGAATGGTTTTATTATTAACTTCAAAGAAAGAAAGAATTAAAAAAAAAAAGAAAGAAATAACTTTAATATTTTCCCGTACTACCTAAATTTTTCTCCTAACCCCTCGTAAAAATGTACATTAATTCACTTGAGACACGAATTCAAGCAAATGGAAAATTTCCAGTTCCATTGAAAGGCGAATCCTACTTTCACCACCATCAACCAGTAAAATTTCACGCGACAATCGAAGGAACTCCTCTAATAATAACCTCAGAGGCTGGTGAAATATTTCTTACGGATAAACGAATCATATTCATTGCAAGAAAGCCTTCTCCGATTGATGACTTTGAAAATTTTCAAATAATGTTGGAAGACATCACTTCATCCATATTATTTCCTTCCAAGAAGGATACTTTTTCTGTGAACGTTACACTGAGAAGTGGTATTGAGATTATAATGTCATTTTCTTATGAGAAAGACCATTTGGAAGATAAAAAAATTTTTGAGGCTTATTATGGGATGTTGGTAGCTCAGGCAAGTCAAGGGGATCAAAGTAATGATGACGATAAGGATCCTTTGTTACAATCCTCCGCTATATTTGAGCATTTGATTCTTAAATCAAACAGAGAGTCGATTCTTGAGTCTGATACGCGTCAAGAATTTCGATAGAAATTTATTTAAATATCATCAAGGATTCTGACATTTTTTCTTTTCCTTGCTTATATTGTATGTTGTATTATAAAATATTTCTTTATCTGAAAATCATATTCATTATTTCGTTTCAATTGATTTTTAATTTTGGTCTCGTATTTTCAGTAGTACAAATAAAATTTCAAAAGTTAGTTATCTTTTGAACAAATAAACAATAGTAATTAAACTCTTTTTTTTAAAAAAAATTTTCATTACCAAACAATCATTGACACGATCTTGACTATCCATAATGCTTGTGCAACATATTAAGCAAACTTTTATACTTTTATACTTTTAATGAAAGAACTATTTAGAACATAAATTAGGATGTTCGCAATGTAAAAGGTTATAATTCTATAACCTACGTGGTTGAACAAATCGAAAAGAAATGAAAAATCTGCGACTCGGGTAAGATAAGAAGAATCTCACGATGAATGGATGAATGAATAAGAAGAATACGGGGACGTTCGCCATTAAAGTCATCATTAGAAAAAAAGGCTATTTTTTTTTTTAAAAAAAAAAAAAACTAAAGATAACCAACCAATCAAATATGTTAACCCTCTTTTAAATACTTACAATTCATATGATCCGATTTTCAAAAGTAATTACAAGTAATCAGAATATAAATAATAAAATTCATAAACAAGATTTTTTACGTCCTATAAACCTTTAAAATACTACGCATTGTAAACCTTATTTAGAAGTGTTGTGCATTTGAAATAAAGTGACTTCTTGGCTTGCCTAATTTCATTTAGGACATGAAGACAAGATAGGTATATCGATGGTAAAGTTATTCTTGCCGGAAAAGATATTGTAAATAAAAATTTTCTCTAGTATTACAATAATAATTAGGCGTCGAATCAAAGTTTTTGAAAAAAAAAAAAAAAGATCCCACCCCTCACCTTCGCAAAACTAACCCAAGGACTTGAATCTATAAAGGACAATGAAATCCATATTTCGATATTCGAAATCATTTCGAAAATTTTTTTTTTTATTTAAAAATTTCGAATGTATGAAACTCAACTTGAATTTCAAACAGAAACCTAATCAGAACCCTCGTCTTCTTGTTTTAGCCAGAAAAAATTTAATCTAAATTATAATTTAATCTAATATTGTGTATTTAAACGAAAATCGTCCAAATGAAAAGAAATTTTACTTTAAAAAAAAAAATGACGACCTCAAAATTTTGTTTTAAATCAAGAGACGCGTCAAATATTTTTAATTAAAAATACATATATTACATAATTAATTAATAAAAATCTAACGACAAAAAAATATTTCTCTTCTATATTTAATATACAAATTATCTTAAGAAAAAAAAAAAAAATTGATTGTATTCAGATAGAACATAAAATTCTCCTACAGTTTCCCTTTGCTTTATTTCTTTCTCAAACTACAAACTCCTTTGTGTGCTTTCCAGTCATTTTTCTGACATGTCTTATCACAATATCTTACAACTTTACAAGGACATTGCATCGTAGCAGATGGTTGTTCACAATAATCACATTTATTAGTAACACTTTCTTCTCCCTTACTCTTTGAATTGTTTGCAGTTGATTTATTATTAGATTTGTTACTATTTCCCGCCGCATTTCCTTTCAAATATTCGGGATCCAATGTCATTATACGTGCATTATTAATCGGTGACATTTCTAACCTGGCCGTTTTTGATAATCCTACCTTTGGAAGGTCTCTCAGTAAATCTTGTACCTATTAAAAAAAAACCCCCCTCTAATATTTAATGCCTATTGGAATATCGGAAGAAAAGAAATGAATAATTTATTTACCGGTTTTTTGACATTTTCAACCTCGGCGATTTGTACCCATATCCCTTGTTCTTCTAATGTTTCGTAGTATTCATTCGCTTTTGTAGCAGCTTCCCGAAATAAGACAATGTCAAATTTACCGGGGTGCGCATCGCTGTCAGATCCAAATACAATACATGTGGCCACCTTATATAAAGAACGAGCCGCCATTGGTCGATTTATTTCTCCGTATTCAAAGCCAATCTGTGAAAACACTAGCTTGGCCTGTTTAAATTCTTTTAAATCTAACAACACGGTTGCAAGGATAAATTGATATCTATACATTCCCCCCAAAAGAAAGTTAGCCGATGGGAGGGAGAGGAAAAAATAAAAAATTTTCTTGTCTTTGGGAACACTTACTTTGGATGATAAAGTTGGTAAAATGGGAGGGGAAAATGAAGTTTTACTCTATCAGGTGAATCCGAACCTAACGAATCATGATCATCAGGAGGGATGTCAATTGGGAATGTTGGATGGATCTTGCTACATTCCAAGATGTCTATAGCACATTGTGTTATGTTACGAACCGTCTCTGAGTTCGCATTTGGGGTTTGCACGAGAGTTTGGGCAAACCTAAAATAATACAATGATAACATTTCTAAACTCAGCAAGAAAGCCCACTTGGAAGAAGTTATGATCTTTGAATAAATTCTCGTTCTTGCATCCGAGGTCAACACGGATTCCGAAACGAGACAAGGTATGGACCTATCTTCCGTTACCGATGGCACCGGAATCCCATTTAATGCTTGAATGGCAAATCCTTCAATAAAACCTGGCAAGTATAAACCCAACAATTTTCTCATACTTGCGATGTAAATGATACATCTTGTGAATAGAACGGTTTGCGCTTGATCTGGTACAAATTTTAACCAAACAAATGAAGACATTATCGCGTGTTGAAAAGCGTCCAACGTCTTATCAAGGTGACTGGGATCCTCATGCTGCAATTGATTCCGCAATAACCCCAACATCACGGTAAACTTCTTTTCCGAGTACACTCCAAGAAAAGAACCGGGCGTTGTAACGATTTTCACAATGTTTCTAACCTCTATTATGAAATCCTTTTGCTTAAATAATTCGGGTATTAGGTCCCTTGCGGCCGATATATACGATCCCGACTCATTTATCACGAGTGCATTGAAAAAGTATGTGAGTGTCTCGGTGCAAGCATCTTTATCTCTCTGAGTTGTGATGATTCTTCTGCCTTTATGATGTGAATTCCTATGATAAACTTTTAAACCTTCCAGCCAAAGTTCTCCTCCTTGGTAAACGCTCCACTCTGCTGAGCCATATTCCGGCTGATAACCACGTTTCGTCACACGCTTATATATTCGCAAAAATGGTTGTACTAAACGAATAGGTTTCTGATGTATTCCACGAATTTTACTTTGATTCATATTGTTTTTATTCGTTGTAGCATTTTTTTTAAAAAGAAAAAGAGTGTGAAGTTTCGGCACTCACAAGTCATCGTATTAAAAGGGAAAAACAATTGACATAGTCATTGCTATTATAATATAAAATAATAAAAATAAAAATAAACAAAAGAAAAAAGAACAAGAAAAAAAGAAAAAAAGTTGATTTAAATTAATTATTTTAAATTATATCTCAATATATCCGCCAATTACTTGATAATAATCCATTCATTTTTATTTTATTTTATTTTTTTTTTTGATTTGGATGACAAAAAAAAAAAAAAAAAAAAAAATATTTTTTTAAATTTTTTTTTTTTCCTTTATTAGGCATACACTTAACATTCGTTGGTTCGAACTTTATTTCGAGCAAATCAATTGGGTGAGATTAATATTCTTTATTGTTGCATCAGGACACAAATATAATTGAAAAAAAAAGATTGCATTATTAAATTTTATTCTTTTATCCGAAGTGATACGTAAATCAAATGAGAAAATTTGTGGGGAATATAGAAAAAAATAAAATTTTTTTTTTTGTTTTTTGTTTTTTTGTCTGCTTAGCTACGAGAGCAAGATGGATAAAATTAAATTATCCAATTTCGAGTCTGCTTTTATCAACAATTGGATAAATTTAAACCGGTTGGTACGATACCGATCGTTGAGGATTATGTTCATCACGCCTGGCAAAGAAGCTGTGAAAAAAGAAATAAAAAAAAAAAATTTAATCATGTTGTGTTAAATTACGGTAATAAGGAGGTATGCGCTTTCATGACCCAATGCGTCCTTCTAATTTTTTTTTTTTTTTTTTTGTCCCTTGAACACCTCACAAATATATTACACAAGTATAATAATAATAATATTATTATTAAACTGATACTTACTAATACCCAAGCAAACCAACGATTGGGAAGAAGAAAATAAGAGCGATCCACATGACCTTTCCTCCTGTGCTGCGGGTACTCTGGACAACTTCAAAGATTGCCAAGAGATCGATAATAAGCTAAAATTTTTCGAATAAAATGATCATTAATTCAATATCTTTATGTTTTTGTCTCTCCTCTTATCTGACTGACACACGTACTATAATGATACTTAGAACGCTCCCACCGTAGTTAAGTAATGTGTCAATCATGATTGGAATTTTCTTAAAATAAAAGGGTTTCGTTTCAAAAAAAGAAGAAAATTTTATTACGGCACTAACCGGTAAAAGTCTTTTTTTGTCCTATTCTTATATAATTCAAATATATTGGCTGACGTAATGTTAATAGAATATCATACGAGATCTTTTATAATAGATTATCAAATCATTTGGTCCGACCACAGTCTAGTACAACTTCCTCACATTTCGGATAAAGTTATATTGATCAAAAAAAAAGATAAGATTTTTTTTATTTTACAAATTAGTTTGAAACAATCAGTCTTTTATTTATTGATTTGAACTATGATGAAACAATTTGAACACGAGATTTGGCGTTTTTACGCCATTAAATTAATCAAGTTAATGTCTAATGGTTTAAACACGTGACATTTCCGAAGAGTCAGGGTATACTTTGATAAAAATTGAGCCGCCTGTGCGCCCGTCGGTTGGACAAGAAACTAAATTATGAGAGAAAAATCTTTCATGAATTGATTAAATTTTTAGAGATGTGAAATAATGATTTTATCAAATGCTTACGCATAGGCGAGTAAACCGAAGACGCCGAATAAGATAACCACAATAATCCAACCAAATTTTCCCGAAGAATCACGATGGCTTTGAATGATTTCAATAATGGCAAATAATTGGAGGACCATCTACAAGGTGAAATAACGTCAAGAGTTTTCTTTCCATCATTCAAACGATAAAGAATTTTTTCATGTAACAAAACAACATACGATGAGGAAAGAAGAAAGTATGATGATGTCATCTAGGCAATAGGAAAGCCCGTAATCGAGGCAATGTGAATAGTGGCCAAACATGATTAAAACTTTAGGATGTCGTTCAGGAAAAAAAAAAAAAATAAATAAAAACAAAATGCGATGGTTTATTGTAGATTATATGATAAAATTATGTCCCATTGTTTCCTTATTCCAAAACTACCCATCTATCAGATCAACTGATTGTAAATTACCCTAAATGGTATTACTATCTATTAGGCAATCGGCAGATCGGAAACATGTTCCGGTTTAGATTCACGGAGGAAGAGAAACGTAATTTTCCTATTCTGTGAATTGTTTGTTGGATTTTATCGCGTTTTTATTTCGTACATATCCGTTCTGTTTCTTAGATGAGATATCCCAATTTTAATTGTAATCGCGTGCAATTTCTTAACCTTGCTTAGGGTGGATACCATGAGACAGGTGTCGTCAGTTTGACAGATTTGGAAAATAAACCAAATTATAAGGAAATAATGTGATGACATGAGCAATCAATTATTCAGGATAGTCCAACAGAAATTCAAGTCCAAAGTGATCGAAACAATTAAATCGTTAACTACGTCCGTGATCAAAAAAATAAATAAAAATCTTTTTCTTTCTGATTTTAAGAATGTGTCGTTTCAAATTCACTCAAATATAAATCAAAGTTAAAAATACATTCTAGTTTCATTGTTTCTTTATATAAGGTGGTTCATAATTACACAAATGCACCGACTGCAATTATTATCACATGACACAAGATTGTCCTTTCCGAACCAATAGCATCCCATAATAATCCCGAAAGATCTTTTTCGCCTCCAAATCTTTTCTCTGATAACCAAGTGACATTATAAACACCTCACCATTTCTCAATGTAATCCTTACAGTAAATGTATTTCTCTTAAAGATGCGATGAGAAGATATAATGGATGAATTAACGTCATCCAACATCACATGAAACGTTTCAAAATTACCATCAATTGAGGAAGGTATTTGCGCGATGAACATGAGTCGCTTATCCGTAAGGAATATTTTTCCGGTTTCTGAGTATTGTTTTTTGGGAGTTCCTTCAACCTCCACGCGAAATTTTACTGGTTGATGTCGGTAAAAGTAGGATTCGCCTTCCAATGGGATTGGGGATCGTTCATGTTCTTTATAACGTGTTTCAAGTGAATTTATATACATTTTATTTTGTAAAAGAGAAAAATAGTTTTTTTTTTAACCTAAAAGAAAAAAGGAAATTCTTTCCATTTATATACAAAAATCATACGTTTAACATAATTACGTGGGTAAAAAAAAAATATTATTACGAATTATTTACGCCATCAACCACAAACAACCACAATTTGTTACACATTAAAAATCATCAACTAAAAGGTTATATGATATTATTTTGAAAATACTAGTTAAAAATTATTGAATTGTATGGAGACTGTAATGTGTCGAACTTTAAATAAAGTAAAGAATAATAAAGATTCGCACGCGTTGGGCTTCTAATTTTTACCCTTGCGGTGAGAGAGTGTGATCACAAATAAAAAACAATTTATTACATAATCAACGATAAGCAAACTTAAATGATTTCACAACTGTGAGTCACATAATGTTCATGTGTAGTCCCGTGGCCACAACGAACTTACAAAGTATATGTGGAAATGAAAACCCATCATAATTCTTAATTAGTTGAACAAGTCGATCACATTCCTAATGGCTTCGACCAAATCCATCCCTGATAATAATATTATTGTATTATAACTATGAAATTGCAACAAACAGTTAAGTTGAACAATGTTTAGTTTTATTTAGATCATAATAAAGAATTTTTTGAATGTGATATGCATCTTCATTATGATTTCATTCGTTCGTTAATCCAAATATTGTAACCATTACCACACTAAAATAAGGTAAGTTTGACCATATTTATTGCACCGATTGTTAGAGTCTACAAGGATCATCTTTTGTATTATTGTCTTTTACTTTTATCGATAATTTAAAGAAATCTACTGGTAAAATCGGTATTTTGAGTCAGTCTCTTTGCTAATTTCAAAAAGGAATGGATTTTTTTTCAAACAATTAGTAGCGAGATAACCTAAACTAAAAGTCGACAAGGTAAATTACTAAATCAATGGGATTAAAAAATTTATATAAATAGTAGCAAAACTCAAATATCTTCACACAATCTAAATACACATCATTATGACAAGATGCTCAAAAAAAAAAAAAATGGATTCCGTTCGAGAAGAAGTTATTTCACGCGGAATATTATGATTGATCAACATTCAATCATAACTTCTATGACAAAGATGACAAACTTAAAAAAGATTTGTTAGAAATATGCTTTGCGAATGGTATCGGGAGGTTGTTAGTTTTGCAGGATAACCTAATTGGCTTTTCTCTATCGTTGGGGTGGTTGTCTTTTTGGGAGAAGATTAACTTGTGTGACTATTAATAAATATATTGGAAATGGGGTTAAGGTAACGTTGAGAATTTCACGCGAATAAAGGGTAGGAAAGACCATGTCCTATTATTGTCGGATTTGAAATTATTTTTTTTTTTTTTTTAAAAAAAAAAATAAAAAAAAAGAATGTAGAAATAACCGATTTTTCTTAACGTAAAAAAAGGGAGAATATAAACCGTAAGGTTTAAATGTTGCAGTTACATGAAATTTTCGGTTCTTCAATTGAAAAAGGTCTGGAACTCCGGGTTATTGTTTTACGTCAATTCTCTTTATTGTGCATATGCTTGAATTGTAAAAAATGCAAAGCGATTTAAGAGTAAGCGCATTTAGTCCTCTTTCACACTTTCCAAAGAAGTCTCGTTATTCACAATCCCTTTAAAGTTATGCACGCAATTGAAGGACAAATTATCCGCTACGCCAATAAGTATTACCGTTTATGCATTCTATTATTAAACTGGGGGAGGGAGGGATAAAAGAGAAGCATGAATGGCTGTATGATATTACTAAAGATGAATGCTTCGATTAATGAACCTGTTTATGCTCCTTAAATTCCAGTAAAATCAACTTTTTCCCATTTCGGGAATTACTTTCTTTATTTAAATCTTGTGCTAATTCACACAAGAAAAAATTAATATTCACAGTTTTCGGCTGCAAACGTAACGTTACCCTTTTTCTTTTTTGATCAATTTTATAATAATTTCTTCATAAAGGAGATATTAAGTAATTATCATTAGTTAAAAAAAAAAAAAAAGGAAGATTTGAATAAGAGACGGTTTTGGGACAAAAAGTGCAAATGAAGTATTGCGGTGTGTGATTAATTACATTTTGTTACATACTTTTAAATTTAAAATATATATACTACCTTTTCTTTTTTTTTAAAAGAATAAAAATTAAATTATTTAGACCGATAAAAAGAGAAATTTATTATTTAGATCGATAAAAAAAATTATTTCTAAAAATTTAGATCAATAAAAGAGAATTCATTATAAAATAAAATAAAAACTATTACTTTGATCGATAATTCATGATACATGCATATAAATATATAAAATAAATATGATATTATACCTCTTTTTTTTTTTTGGCACAATTTTATCCCACGATACTTAGTATTACGTAATACAAGTATTTACAAGAAAAAAAAAAAAATTTGTCGAAAACGATACGAGAAAACGAAAGGTAACCATTTCTTTTAAATAAACGAATAAAGATGATGATGATGATGATAAATTTAAATTCCAACCCTATTCAAAAAGGCAACAATGGAATTAAAAACCTCTTCAGGACTTTCGTCTTGAGGTAAATGTCCACAATTATTTAATATCTTAAATTCCAATTTAGCGTCTGGAGGAGCAACCGAACGAATTTCTTCATAAACTTCTATGTGGTTATCGACATGCGTGTACTTGTCATCATCACCAGATAAATATAAAATTGGTAATCGCGCTAAATAGCTTTTGTAAGGTAAAATTACTAATGGTGTAAAATATTTCATCAACCATGAAAGTGATTCATAAAAATTTGGTAAAGTTAACGGAATTCGATAATTTGGCTTCACCACCGTTTCCCAGTCAGGAATGGAATTACAGTCATGATAAAGCGTTGTTAATGGTATGTATCGATATAGTGCGGCTTTTAGGAAAAGTCGCCCTGGCGCTGAACCTAATATGTGTCGACCAATTGGCGGTGGACCTAAGAAGAAAGGGACACATTTTAGGAAAAAAACCCCAAAGGAAAATTTGATTTTATAATTATATATAATCTTACCTTGGTCTTCAGGTTTTAAGGAAGGAGCCAATAAACATAGAGAATGTACTAGGTTTGGATATTTAATAGCAAAGGAACAACTTATACTTCCGCCAGCAGAAACTCCTACAAATGAAATCTTTTTTCCCTCATAACCTAAGGCAGATATGAGTTGATGTATAAATTCTACAGATGCCTCTTGCGTATAAGGATTTTTTCCTTCCTCCCAATGAGTTGGCCTCTCGGTAAAGCCAAAAGTTGGTCTATCATAAGCTATAACATGACATCCTGTAGCATCGGCCAAAGGTTGCATAAGAAGCCTCCAAGTATATTGGTTTCCAAGAATATGATGCAATAAGAGAATTACAGGTTTATTTGGTTCATTTGGAATAAGTTGCTGTTGTTGCAATAATTGTTGGTGTTTTTGCGGAATCGATAATTTATAAAAAGTTTGGATTCCATTAACTTCTATGAAACGTCCTTCTGGGTCGCTTGATGCTATTGATTCAAGAAACACCCGCTGAATCGATGGAAGTTTTGGAAGCGACTGTGACATGCTGAACTAATAAGAAAAAAGAAAAAAAAAAAAAAAAAAAGAGAGGGGAGAAAACTATAATAGAAAAATAGTTTAATAAAGATAAAAGTAGGAGGTGTGAAGATTAGAAACAAGACTAAAGAAAATGGATTAATATATATAATAAATATGGTGGAATGATCAATGATAATTTTTTTTTTTTTTTTTTTTTTGAGGGGAAAAATATAATGCATGCACGCATTTACATAAACAATTTATAATTTCATGTAATATCGATATAATTTCATTGTATTCGGTACCGAGTATTGTAAGTTGTATTTCAATAAAGTATATATTTATTATACGGACTTTGTTTAACCGAGATATTCCCAATTATTCTGAACCAAAACGCAAAGGAGGACAATGTGCATCATTCGTTGCAAAGGATCAAGTGTATAAAAACACAAGGTACGATGACGTCAAGGTTCGGAAATCCAAACTTTAATAAACTCTAATAAAATAATTCAGAAAGTGTTTTTAAATTAAAGGATTTGCACATCGGATTTTCGGAAAAAAAAAATTTTTTTTTTTCAAAACCATAAAACCGGGCACAAGTTTTCTCTCATAAACACAATCGTTTAAGCGACCAATTGATATCGAAAAAGCATCTACAATAATCGGGAGAATGTTTTGACGCGATCCAAAATCTCTATAAAATTCAATTAAATCACTGGAAAAAAGTTCTTACGTTGAAAGCCATGTCCTACAATGATGCAATAATTACAATGTTCTTTATTATACATTTCGGAACATATGCTAAAAAAGAGTCCTTCCAAATGATTTTTATTTTACTTCTGTATTAAATTAAAGTCCGATAAATATTCGTACACCGTGTGAAAGACGTGTTACCATCGCGAAAAATTTGACTTTTTTATTTACATGAATGTGTTACTTTCAAATACACCAATTAAAAATCTTTGTCAAAGAATTTAAAATTTGCAAGTTGATCAATATCTAAATATAGACCATACGGACCGAAATTTAACACACGAATTTCTATAGATAAATTTGTTCTTGTAATACAAATAGAAATCTTCCCAACAATTTTCATTCTTTTTTCGAAAAGCGCTAACATCTCCTGTAACCTGATATACGCCGGCTCTTCCCTATAAGGCAATCGCTAATGCTGCGGTAAACAAATATGCATGGATTGGAGATCAAAACGTACGTGATTTTAAGAGCTTTTTTTTTTTTTTTGACAAATCTTAATTTTATTATCTTATTTTTTTCTTTCCTTTTTATATTAATTATTTTGGCAATGACTAAATATGTTATTGTGTATTATGAAATATTCGGTAGAGTACAAGGTATTTGAGAAAACTATTATTTACCTGTTTTCTAAAATAAAAAAATCTTTGATCAAGTAATTATTATAGGAGTATGGTTTCGGAAATACACAAAGGACAAAGCGATTGAATTAAACCTTGTCGGTTATGTAAAAAATACAGGTTTGCTACGATGTATAAATTTTTTTAATTGTTCAACTCTTTTTAATTTTCATGTTACTTAGAAAGAGGTACAGTAAGTGGTATTGCGCAAGGTGAAAGAGAAAAAATTGAAAGTTTGTAAGTAAGATACTCTTTATGACGATGATTAAAAGAATTGATTAAATTAATTGATTGTATTTTAATTAATTATTTAGTAAACATTGGTTACGATATGAAGGATCTCCTTCATCTAGAATTGACAAAACCATTTTTAAAGAAGAAGAAATTGAATCGGTTGAATTTCAAAGATTCGAAATAAAACATTAAACCAAACTTATTAGAATTACTCAGGTTGATGCTGATTCGGTCTGATTATTAAGTTCATTCCTCTTATTATGCACTTCCTCATCAGTATCCCTACTTACTTCACTTAAATTTCTTTCTAAATCCCTCTCATTGTCATTTATATTTAAAACTTCGTTCCTATTATCGAAAGAGTCCCAATCCTCCAAGTATTTATAATGAGCAGGTATATGATCACTTCCATCACCCGTTCCAAGAAACCAACCATTATTACCAAAATGTAATCTATATGAGATCAGTGCCGCGCCAATTCCTATTAAACCTCCCGTTATTATTTGAAATGGAAAATGTCTGTAATCCATTACCCTTGTCAATGATATCCATGTTGCAAAATATATTGGAAATAAAAGTACTAAAACTTTCCAAAAATGAGCTCCTCCTGTCCATGGTTTTGACTTTCCATTGATGTACAACACGAAAAATACCCAGCCTGCGTATGCTGTAGCTGAATGCCCGCTTGGAAATCTAATCAATGATATTTGGTATATTATATTATTTTAAAAAAAAAAAAAAAAAATTAAAAGTTCTAATCAAAACCTTACCCTTGATATTCAATTTTACTTAACTTATTCGTACAAATTTCACTTGTAAAATAAGTTTGAGTCTCGTTCATTGCATTTATTTGTGACATATCTGGTTGGCATCTCGTTAAGAATGTCGGGCGAAGTCCCAAATGACCTATATAAAGATTTATTTTTACAATATCGAATTTTTTCAAATGAGAAAGTTTGAAAATAAATACTTACTTCCGATAGTAATCCAGGAAAGCGAGGTGAAAAATAATGCAAGTACTAATAAAATACATGATTAAATGATACGACAAAACAAAGCTACTTTTTTTAAATCAAAGAAACCACTCTCACCAATACTTGTAACATGACCGGTTACCATATGATAACAGTTCCAAAAGTCGTAAAAGAAGATAAATTCCAATAAAAGCATTATAAACCCGGGCAAAACTGTGTTAATGATCGTAGCCAATGAAGAAGAAATAATTTCATTTACGATTGGTCTCTTCAGTGAATTATCTTCTACGGAGAAATAAGCGATAGGCGGTTGAGGAGTCTTAAAGAACCTAAGATAAAAATCACCTTGTAAGAAGTTTTTTTTTTTTTTTTGAAAAAAAAAGGTGACGGGAGATTTCTTTAAATAATACAAATGGATATTACCAATCGGTCAAGAGAAACATGACAATAATGAGAGCCCAATCAAAAATTAATCCAACATAAATGCGCCTTTTTCTTGAAGGAAAATTCCATGGTGACCATTTACGTGATTTTAAAAGTGATGGATCATAATATCTCTTCGGTAGTTTGAATAACGGCAAGAAACACTTCATTCTAGATTAGATTTCTAAATTGAAAAGAAAAATGAAAATTTCGACCGAGACTTTTATGTACCGAATTTACTTGATGATGTATTTATGACATACTTATGACACATTAGGTTAGGAAAACTCACGTGGCAAAATTTCTTGGGAGGAATTAAAATAAGGCAGATTTACTTGGACTCATAAAAAAAACCCCCCAAAATTCTTCTTCCAATCATTAAAGGATTCGTCATTTTTTAACTGATACGGTAAAAAAATAATTTGAAAAACTTTAAATATCCGTCGATCATGTGAGCGATCTTGAAGTGCTCAATTAGTATAAAGTTAGTGGATTTCTTTTAATAAATTTTGTATCAATACCATAGTAATTGTTTTCGATTATAATATTTTACAAATTCTCGTCCATTAAACATTCGTCTAGCAATATAAAAAGATATCACCTTTCCTGATTTATCAAATTTGTACTGATTTCCATTAAAGGTTAGCAATTAATCGGATTGATGTTTTAAAGTTTATATTTTCGTAAAGTATATTTTACCATGTGATTTTAAATTTTTATAATTAAAACGGAATCGGAATACACATTACATTGATCGACACGATGAGCGAAAAAAACTTATAAAAATGTTGAGAAATTTCATCAGGAGAGGGTAATTTTTCATTCATCAAATCTTATTAAATGATTTTTTCATTAAAAATTTAAAAAATATGATAATCAAAACGAGGCGCATGGGACTCGAACCCACAATCCCCAGATCCGAAGTCTGATGCCTTATCCATTAGGCCAACGCCCCAATGTTACCTTTGGAAGTTGTACAAATTAAAACATTTTAATTTGACAAAAAAAAATTTTCTAATCTAGATTTTTCGTTGATCTTCGTACAACTATAAAATATGCGATTATCGAAAAAAAATTTTAAAAATTTTCTTATACCAAGCTTAATTTTATTTGTTTCTCTTAAATCATGACAAAACAAGAGGAAATTACACAGGTTCATTCTTTCTATGATACGATCTTAATTCTCGATTTTGGTTCACAATACTCGCATTTAATCACGAGACGCGTCAGAGAATTTGGTGTATATTGTGAAATGCTACCATGCACCCAAAAAATCAAAGAATTACGTTTCAATCCCAAAGGTAGATCAATTCTTTAAAATTGTATTTAGTGCGTGAATCGATTTTTGATGATTATTATTTTTTTTGATGTTAGGCGTCATCCTTTCCGGAAGTCCTTATTCGGTTTATGATAAGGATGCTCCACGTGTAGATTCCGAAGTATTCAACCTAGGCGTACCTGTATTAGGAATTTGCTACGGTCTTCAGGTAAAATGTCGGGAACTTTGACTCTATCAATAGGTTGACAGAATTTCTTTTTGTATTTACCTCATCAATTCTTAAATTTAGGAACTTGCGTGGAATTTTGGAGGTTCGGTGGCACCTTGTGACCATAGAGAATATGGTCATGCTATATTGAACATTAATCATCAAGGTCATCCATTCATTAACAGATTATTTGACGGCATCGAAGGCCCTATCCAAGTAAATAATAAACCTTTTTTATTACAAATCTATTATTACTTCAACTCCTTTTCATGCATATGAATCATCGAATAATATAGGTTTGGATGAGTCATGGGGATCAATTGGATAGAGCTCCCGAAGGTTTTAATGTGATTGGACATACATTGACCGCGCCATTTGCGGCCATAGCTCATGAAGAGAAACATTTATTTGGTATTCAGTTTCATCCAGAGGTAACTCATACGCCTCTAGGAAAAGAAATTTTAAAGAATTTCGTTAAAAACATTTGTGAATGCGAAATGAATTGGACAATGGTATGTAAAAAAAAACAAAAAAAAAATTTCTTTTTTAATTATTAATTTCTTTTAACTATTGTTTAGGAATCATTTATTGATAAAGAGATAGAACGGATTCGTCAAATCGTAGGACCTAATGGGAAAGTAGTTGGAGCTGTAAGTGGTGGAGTTGATAGTACAGTCGCCGCACGACTGATGAAAGAGGCGATCGGTGATAGGTTTGTTGGTTATTATTCGCTTCCCTTTTAAAAAATTAGATGATAATCTATTATTCTAAACCTTTCTGGGATGGGACATTGTTAGATTTCACGCTATTCTTGTTGATAATGGTGTCATGAGATTGAATGAGTGTGAGACAGTCAAGAAAGTGCTTGGTGATCACCTTGGAATAAATCTAAAGGTTGTAGATGCTGCTGATATGTTTCTTGATCGTCTCAAAGGTGTTACTGATCCTGAGAGGAAACGAAAGATTATTGGAAACACGTTTATTGAAGTGTTTGAATCAGAATCATTGAAGATTGATCAAGAAACGAAAGAGGGCGGACACGGACAAATCGAATACCTTCTACAGGGAACTTTATATCCTGATGTTATAGAAAGTATTTCGTTTAAAGGACCGAGTGCTACAATAAAAACTCATCACGTGTGTTATAATAATTTATTTATGTATTTATTTTTTAACACTAAGGAAGGATTGAATCTGATATTTTCTACAAAATTTAGAATGTTGGTGGATTGTTAGAGGATATGAAGTTGAAACTCATCGAACCTTTAAGGGAACTATTTAAGGGTAATTAACAAAAATCTTTAATCCTTTTACGTTTTCAACTGGTTAATAAAATTTCCGAAATTTTTTATAGATGAAGTACGTGAACTCGGCAAGGTATTGAAGGTCGATGAAGATTTGATTTGGCGTCATCCATTTCCTGGACCTGGTATTGCAATTCGTGTATTGGGTGAAGTTACACCTAGTCAGGTTGCAATAGCTCGAGCAGCGGATCACATTTATATTGATGAGATAAAGAAAGCAGGACTTTATCGTAAAATATCTCAAGCTTATGCTGCTTTATTGCCGGTTAAAGCAGTTGGAGTTATGGGTGATAGAAGAACCTACGAGCAAGTGATTGTTCTAAGAGCTGTTGAAACCACGGATTTCATGACAGCGGATTGGTAAGTTTGTGCGCTTTGAACAACGATGATTTTAATTTTTATCATATTGAAGGATATTTTCTTTTGTTGATTACATGTTTAGGTATCCTTTCCCTTATGATATTTTGAAAAAGATCAGTAACCGAATCATCAATGAAGTTAAAGGTAAAAAAGCACAATATACATTTTTCCTGTTCGTTTCATTTGATTAACGCATATCTTCTTTCAACAGGTGTAAATCGGGTCGTATATGATATATCTAGTAAACCTCCAGCTACGATCGAATGGTAAGTTGATAATAATTTGATCATTTAAATTTTCACTCTACAAGGCTTAATATTCTTCAATTTTCAGGGAATAAACGGTTCTTGTTTTAATAAGATTTGCTAAATGCGTGAGATAACAAATCATCTCATTAATAAATTTTGGGTATTCGACACTATTGTACATAAATTAATAAGCGATTTGATTCACTTTTAAATACATTCGACAAGTAAGCTCAATTTCATATCATAATTCCTTTTTTTTTTTTTTTTCGTTCCTTGTCATTCAAGAACTTCTTCATCAACCACAAATAAAATTGCAATGCCACATTACATCTAGATATTTTAACCAATTGGGATAATTTAGAATGTCAACAACCTTTTAGTTAGTAGATAGTCTTTTTTTTTATTTATTACCTTGGATTTCAGGTTCCTCCATGTGTTCAGAAGGTTTGTTCCAATGTTCGGATTCGAAAGTATTTCCAAGAATTTAATTGGTTGGGTTTTTGAAGGAAAAGTCGGGAGTAGCTTTAGACAAACATCATAATTTCACAATTTTATTTAACTCGATTTAACAAAATCCGAGTATTTAAAAGTTGTTTCATCATCAATAAGGTTATCTTATAATAAAATTACATTTAGATTGGTATTTTCTTCCTGATTTATAAATTTGTTTTTTTGCAAATATTAAAAATCTTATTTTAGGCCTTTGTTTTCCTCTTTTATAGTATTCCTCTCTCCTATTCTTTTGCACCTAGTTTTTTATTAATTATCTTAAAAAGAAACTCAAGTCACTGGATACCCGTGGACTGTACCCTTCCTATCTTAGAATGTAAAGAATCAGGGTATTATACATAGCAACTTACTTTGGGTACTTGAATTTTTATAATTTTTAAGAAAAAAGGACTTGGATCGTATCATTTTCCTTATTTCTATCCTCTTACTTTCCCACCATTTCCATATTCCATCATCATCACAAGATATTCCTAATCCATTTAGAAAGATTCATATACAGTAGGAAAGTTACAATGTTTTTAGCAAAAAGATTTTCTGTTACGCTTTTTTTTTTGCTAAAAATTAGATATGTACATTTAAGAAAAATTTGAAATAAATTATTGTTCATCCTTTATAACATCACTAAATCATTAAAGTATGTATATAACTTTGTAAATTTTTTAACATTACGGGAATAAGTTTCATAATATTTTCCTTTCACGAGTACTCATTGAATTCCTTATTTTTTTTTTTTTTTTTATATAATATGCTTAATTATTTTATTTAATTGCGTGTATTGTGTGAGAAACAATTGATCGCGTGCTTTTTTGTTCGGGACGAAAAAAAAAAAATGATTAACGTGATTTCGTATATATTTGCTCGCAATAAAGATTTGTTTTTCGATTCATAAATTCAATGAATCCAAAAGCGAATCACTTCTGTTGAGTACTCGTTCAAACTTAAGCAAATACAATCAGTTATTATTATAATAAACTATAAATTTTATCAGACCAATCTTTTATTTAACTTTGATCGGATTTAATTTTTTATATATCCGACTTTGTCTTAGAATCTCAGACTGAGGAATGTTCCGTCGCAACAAACCAATTATTTTCAATTATGAAATTGTTGCCTTAATTATATCTTAATCAAACCGGTTTTAGATCAGAACTGGGAAAACTGGATATAAATTCGAAGGTCGAACCACTTTCGGATACACTGACGCGTTTCGCGTTGGCAAGTTGAATAATTGGCCCATTGAGTAATTGAGTAATAATTTGAAAAATACAAGTGTCTCTCTCCCAAAATTTTCGTGATTACTAGGAAAAGCTGTTCGCGTAAATGTAAATTATTCGGCAGGTCCATATATTTTTGTTGACTCTATCCTTCTTTTTACGGGATAAATATTTGCGATACGTTGAAATTCGGAGAAACGAAATGAATATCGAACAACTTGCTTGTGGAGATGAAAATGAACGTGAGGCTGGTGACATTCCTGATAAAGGCGTACTTTCCGTTCGCTTTGTCTCTACGCACATGTATTTTACTTGTTATAGAACAGTAATTCCTACGGCATATTGAAGAACTTGATGAACTTATCCAAAACTTGGTAATTTCTTTTGCAAAGCAATTGCATGATAGTTTGTGAGTTTTGAGTACTTTGTACCCCTCCAAGACATCGAGACGTGTGCAGAAGGAAAGATTACTTGTCTTGGCTTCGAGTCACGGACTGGTGTAAGATGTGAGGAATAATATTACATGTCGTTATCTATAACCAATTTTCACTACATTTTGACAATGTTGGGTAGCAAAGAAATCGGAATCGGATGGTTATTAAAACAATTCGAAAACTTAATTAGTAGATACGAAAAATATAATTTGATCGTTCGAAGATTCCACCAACAAATATCTATTTTAGCCAATCATGTTACATTTCGAATTCGAAACCAGTTAATTTGTCATGTTAAATTTTTACATTTTGGTCTTTGCAATAGTAATAAAAAACGACTTTTTGGTTGTTAATATATAAACTATTATTATAGGTTAAAAAAAAAACAACACTTTTGGTAAAGCTATTAATTAGCATATAAGATCGCAAAGATTTTTTTCTTCAATCCTACCTATATATTGACCTGTTTTATTAATTTCAGAGTTTGAAATTAACATTAGTTGACAAATACTGAAATTGGAAATCAAATAGCAAACGCCCGAAACCAAGACAATGATATATATAAAATTTATTTTGGAACAATTATTTATTGAAATTTTAGCACTTTTTAAAATTGGGTCTCGAGACAGTATATAGTAAATCATATGTATGTAAAATGATGTTTATTAATGTTAATTAGCTAGAGAACAATAAATAATATACAAATTTTTTTTTTTTCTCGACCTAAATGAAAGAAAGTAAAAAAATTCGTCACATTGTTCTTATATTAATTCATCTCTCTCTCTTTTCAACACCAACAGGTTCACTCCAATATCCCCTATCAACATATTCCACATTCTCCTGTTCTTTTCTCTTTTTTCTCCTTTTATCACGTTTTTCTTTCTCGAATTTTTTTCCCATGCTTGACATATCACATTCACCTTCAATTTTTTTTTCATTTCCTTCAAGTTCACTTTTACCTAAAATTTGATTATATTCTGGTGGTCCATGAATCACTTTCATGTTATTGGTATATAAACGAGAACTTGACACAGATGCTCTTTCTATATTTAACTACGTAAATCAATATTAGTTAACGAATTTGAAAAGAAAATGTATTTCAAAGAAATTTATTGTGCCAAGAAAGAGATACCTTAAACACCGATGCTCTATGAATAACTTTTCCTTGAGTACCATATTGCATATTCTTGAATAAGGGAATAGAATTAATTCGATAGATATTTAGAGACATTTTATTATTATGATTATTTTTATTATCGTAAATTTTTTTTTTTTTCAATCTGCCTTTATATATATCTCAAAAAATAATAATGAAACGCCATGGTTTATTGGAAATTAAGTAATAATTCAACATATAATTTAATCACTTTTGGCTAGCTGCTTTGAGCAAAGCTCAAAAGATGAACGCATGAAAATGATTATTTATAAAAATAAAATTACGATTTGTTTACATTGGCATTTACAATATAAATGTGGCTTCTGCACGTGTGAAAAGGGTATCCTCTCACAACGAAATGATAACCTGGTAGATTCATCCAACCATGCTTCTCTTTCGTCCCCGTAATCGAACTGTAAAAAATGATTTTGAATTCAATAAATAAATCATGTTACATCACATAAAAAACCAATTTTATTTACCCTCAGCTAATTTAGACAGCACTCCTTGTGAAGCATTATAATTTTTCCGATAAGCATCTAAAATCTCAGTAAACTACATAAAAAATTTACAAAAAATCGAGTACAAAGTTAGAAAAATTAAATATATATATATATTATTTATTTTAAATAACTTACCATTTCTTCAGAATTAGGGTGAGTGCTCAAAAAAGCTCTTTCAAGTACATACAAGTCAACAGCTTTATCCTCAGGCAATGATGATATGTAACTCAATCCAAAATCAATAACCACCTGCAAGGAATCATTAAAAGGTCCAACTTAACATAACAAATTCTATTTCCTTTCCTTTTTTTTTAAAGAAAAATTTACCAGAGATTGATTGGATTCTCTCAGCATTAAGTTGGAAGTGGTCAAATCTCCATGAATGATATCAATTTCATGCACTTTTGCCAATGCAATTCCAATCTTTTTGGCCAATTCATCTTTTTTTTTTTTTTTTAAAAAAAAAAAAAGAAAGAACATTTAGTTGGATTATCATAAAATTGTTCTTTATTGTAAATTTAAAATACCTTGTTTTACTTTATTTTGAATGTATACACTATTCGTGACAAGTAAATCTTTGACGATCGTTCCTCGGACAAATTCCATATAAATCGTACTATTTTCCGTATCCACAAAATATAATGCTGGTGTGTCAACTCCTGATTTACGACATTTGAACAAACATCGAGCTTCCTACACAATAAAATCAAAGCATCATTCGAAAAGGTAAATCATTTTACAATATTTATGAGATAATCCTTATCAACCTGGTTAACTCTTCTTGTTGTTAACTTCTTATCAAGAATAGGATGTCGATAAGCTTTCGAAAACCTTTCTTTAACTATGGCAGTTCGTGTCAAAAATGGTGCCGTATGTATTCGCTGTTTTTTAGGATAAATTAATTTAGTAATTAATTTAATAAAACATTCGAAAACACAAAAATATTTACGGCTTCGGCTCCTTGTTTAATTAATGTAGCGTTCTCAATCATGGTTAATTTATTGAAAAAAAAAGTGTTGAAAATTCTGAAATTACTTATTAGTTTTTATTGTGGCTTAGATATATAAAAAATTCTTTATATAGCTAAACCGAACGTTTCACGTGATTATCTAGATCAATTGATTTATTGTCATTATTGATACTGTAATTAAAAACAAATAATAAGACAGATCTATTTATTGTTATTATAAAAAAAAAAAATCGCGTCTTTTGACGTCAAATTACACTTGCCTATTTGGGGAATTGATTTAATTAATAATTTATATTAACTGTTAATAATGTCAACCTGCAACAATAAATCTCATATTATTAGTCACACTAAATGTTTCTCAAACATAGGATTATTATTATGATTAAGAATAAAAGAACTTTCAAAACCTACATAGCTAAGATGACTTTCAACATCCAAGAAATGAACCTTTAGATCTACACGACGATGGTTAAAGGTGACTTTTTAAATTCAATACAAAGGTTTTGCAAAGTCACATTGTATTCTTTGGTCAAGAAGTTTACTACCATTCGCATTTTCAATTGCACACGTAGCTTCGTTATAAGAATCATATACAATTAAAACGCATCCCTTTTGTTTAATAACAGAAATATAGTTATGTACGTTCTTTTATTTCGTAACTTGACCTTGGATCAATATTTAATTGTTAAATTTTCGCTCCCGAAATTTATCAATAACATACATGCTTTTCCTCATGGACATTTGTTATCAACACAACCCATGCTTCAGTAGAATTTCATAAAAAATATAGCACAAATTTAAATTTAATAATGTTCAGAGTTTTTTAAGCAAGCTTTCGTCCTTACAACGCTGATCTAAACTTGATCTTGGTCTTGATACTGGTCAAATTCATTTTGAAAACGTTTACCTTCATGAGATATTATCAAACATAAAGTTTTTATACAGTTATTATCAAATGATGATTTTACTTTATTTTATCCTATTTTCGACTTTCTTTTCAAGAAAGGAAGAATAACTTTAATATGACGAAATATTATTATACTAATTTCAATACCAAAATATGCTCAAAGTAAACCCATTTATTGTTTTATTATTATTATTATTATTATTATTATTATTATTATAAAGTAAGATATTATAAAAATAGTACCTGCCATATCAATTTTTTTACTTTTCTGATTTTTTTTCTTTTTCTTTTTTTATCTTAATAAGGTGAAATAAAAATAATATTACTAAAAAGTGTCGTTAAATTAAATTAAATATTTACTTGTGTTGAAGTAATGAACGTGCTTTTTTAAGAATATTCTACTATAAAAGGATTAAAATATCCGTAACAAAAAAATGTTAATATTCACCCAAATGTTTTTTCATCTTCACACCCATAAGAATACATATTATATTTCGGTTGATTTTTGTTTACCTTTATATTGATAATCGCTTATAGGAGGTAATCTTCTGCTCGCGTAACTATCTTCCTCTCTAAAATAGACGTTATCTCCTTCATCACTAACTTCATATATTTCATCAGCATAAATATAATCCATTGTATTTCGGTTTGCTTCAAAATCCTTCCAATTATAAGCAGGATTCGAATGCCTAGAACTTCTAGAACTATTAGAGTTTTTACGCATGCGTCTTCTAAATAAATTTTTTATTGATGCGAATGATACCCCATTATCATTATTATTTTCTGGGACAATGATTTCCGGTGCTAATATAATATCGTTATCATCATTTTTAGTTTGTATTGGGAATGGTAACGGAACATCCTTTATGGCACGACATTGTTCACAATTACTAATATGCTGTTATAAAGAAAATAAAATAAAATAAATTTTTTATTTCTTGAATTAATGTCAAAAAAAAAAAGATTAACTTACTTCGTATTCGACACGGAAAAAATTCCATTGCCATCGACTAAAAAATTAATTTATGTATTACATCAATACGACAATTTAATAATAAAGTTCAAGATCATGCAAACGTAGGCCATCCTTACCGAAGTATTTCACCAAAAGCGATGAGAAAAGAAATGATAAAACTAAATTCATGTTTGTGTATTGTAAACACAATAATTATCCAACTAAATCTTAAAATGAAGTTTGAGATAATAGCATAATAATATAACCTTGGGTTTTTAAATCCCAATTCATTTCTTAATAAATAATTGACGCTATTTGGTTGTAGTAGGCTCCAATCCATTTTAACATCCCAAATGTAAGTATAAAAAGATGAAATTGCTTGAAAGGTCACCCATAAAATTATGAAAATGTGGTTAGATCTTTGCGTTCCCTTGGATTCTAAAAGAAAAAAAAAATTATAAATTAAAAAAAAAACTTCATCAAAACATGAATATGATTATTATTATTATTATTTAATAATTACCGTCATGATGGTATAGATATGCGAAACATATAGCAACAATTGTTGAGAGATATTTGCCCATGTTTATAAAATGATTTATTTGAAACGTGTCTCTATAACGCTTCCAACTTTGAAGAAAACGGAATAACGCGGGAAGTGAACCAAGGACTGGTGTTAATGCGTTTGTATCTGCACTGCAAAATTTGCCTCCTTCCCCAACTTTAATTAAGAATGGGAATTTATATTAAATTATTAGATTGAAGATTTAATTTAAACTAAAAAGACCCATCATTTAAAAGAATACTTGCTATGGCGACATCCAAAAAGTTGTATCATGATCATTGAATAAGCTAAACTATTTAATTCATCAGCAATAAAGAAATCCCTGAATTCTACACGCAGTATTCCACTTCCTAATAAACGTACCTATTCATAAATAATAAAGACGAAATTAAGAATTCTTTTTCGTAATAATTTATTTTCGAAATATTATGCTGTTTCTCAGAAAAAGAAAAGTATTTGTGGAATTTTACCATTGAAATTATAAACCATCGCCGGGCATTGTAATAAAATATGCGAAAGGGATTAAAAATTATAGCGCAAACACAACCGAGCACGATTATAGGATACCGGAATTCATAATGTATAGTGTAACCAAGGAGCATGATAAAACTCAAGCTCAAAAAAGCTATAGATGGAAGCTACATTTAAAAGTTATGAAAAGAAAAAAATATTAATTTATAAACGAATCTCATTAGAAATAAAGTTTGAAATAAATAAAACCTCAAGGTATTGACGGTAATCCAAATTATTTCTTGGATTCAATTCGAAGATAAATTTATAATTTATACGAAATCGTATCCATGTATACATATTAACACCTATTAAGAGTAGGAGTATTAATGGTAGAGCAATTGCAGCGTAAAGTTCTAGATCTATCTTGGACACGAGTTCATCATCTTCCATATCGCTATCAGATTTGTCAAAAGAATGTTTATTCCGTGCTTTAACCAGCGAATAGATCAAAAAAGGTATCGACAAGCCTAAGCATAGACCGACACGTAATACGGACGAATAATATGTCTGTAATTTCAGGAAAAAAGGAAATCAACAATAATTTTTAATATGGAAAGAAAAATTAAAATAAATAATAAGTGACTTTACCAGATGTTTGTTATTTGGTATTCGCAACTTTCTAATTGCTTGAGCATTTGAGCCATCTTCAAAGTGTTTCACATAAAAATCTTCGACATCTTTAAGAACCTTGCTTGTAACGTTAGACTTAACGAAACGAAAACTTTCCACTTTTGGCATATATATTTTGGATCCATTTCGTTCAGTTATCTTAAATACATACATTGGTTGTTGATATTCAAGTTAAAATAAAATAAACAAATACATTCCTTCTCTCTAATTTTTTTTTTTTTTACCTTGTCATATTTTTTTAATATTTTAGCAAATCCAGTGTAATTTAAATGTGCGAAATTTTTCAACAATTCAACGCCTCTATAATACTCAAATACTGCATTCTTTATCCTTTTCTTCGCAGTTCGATAATCGAATTGCTCGTCCACTGTTGAACCTCTTCTTGAAACTATTTCTGGACCGAAATAATCGAAGCTTTGTTTGACGATACTTTTCGATGTTTTCCAGGCATCTGCATGAACCTTTTTAACAAATAAAAAAATTAACAAATACCGAAAACAAAGTAGATACTGCGCCACGCCAGCCACCTCTCCGTAAACACTTACGTTTTTTTGTTTCTTGCTTTTTAATATTTCATATTGTTGTACCAATAAGTCAAAGTGTTTTAACATGTCCTTTTCCTTTGCTAAAAGGGAATGAATGTTTAACGGGTATAAGTGGGGCCACACACATTAAGACTATATAATATAGTAAATATTACTTACTTTCATAAAAGTGATCAACCTTTTCCAATTCTTGATCCACGGCTTTAAAAAACAACCTTTCTTCAGGTTCAACCTCGAACATTAACGTTTCCAAAGATGATATATGAGTTGGAGTCGAAACTGCGTAAGAGAAGGGGTCAATCGGGAGAATGATCATATTTATAGAGAAGCATGTATGTATATTACATCAATAATACATACGCTGATGAGAATTACTTTTTTGTGCCGTAACTAAAGCAGAAGAAACTTTATGAAAGAAATCATGTACACTATCGGATAAACTATTCATAGTGAAAGTTCTTGATTGAATAGAGTTTCTTTTGCTTTTGTCATTATTTGCAGAAAATCCCCTCTCGTGATTCGCTGGAAATAATTTCTCTTTATTTTTCGGAAATTTCTTAACGTCAATTTCATTTTCATTATAATTTCCAAATTTATAATTTCGATATGATTGCGGAGGAACTTCTACAAACACGCTACTGCCTGCGGTGTTAAATTTACTTTGCATCAACTCTTTTTCTTCTTTTTCTCTCGCAATTTTTGCATTATATACGGTCTTGAGACTCTTTTTCAAGGCTTTATAATCTATATATCTAAAGGATTAAGGGTAAAAGAATGCTGAATAAGAATAATTCATAGCGATGGCTGTAAAAAAAAAAAAAAGAGAATTAGAAAACACTCGTGTATATTTACTTTACCCTCCATTCTGGAGCAATTTCGGTTTGGAGATGTTTTTCGAATTTCATCTCACTTTTTTTGGCAATATTATGTTGTAGGTATTTAAAAAGGCTCAATTAAATATTTTTTAAAAATTTATAAAGTATTTATTTACCTTTTTTCTTTTGATGGATTTATTTCACTATGTTAGAAAACGAGATCAACACACATCCTTAAAAAGATGTATAAAATAAGAACAGCCGCCCGAATTTCGGATTATTTCCATATCTGGAATGCATTTTTAGGATTTTATTCTCACGTGTATTACCGAGTTTAACAATTAACAATGAATTTTCCGGTAAATATTAAGACAATTTTTTTTTATTGTTAAAATATTAAATTGTAGTCACACCACTCGGGGAATAAACGTCATTTCCGATAATTTCTTCCTGTTATAATAATTTTAACATATATGTATATACAGTCGATTTAGTAAATCTTTTAATTTTCAATATTAAACCTTTGAACTTTTAAAACAAAATACAATAGCGATTTCAATATAATCTAAATTAAATTATTTTATAAACCACTTACCTCTAGGTCTTTTTTCATGTGTTGATGTTTCTTTCGGACGGATCTATTTCTTTAAATATAACGTTTTCCGCAAGTTTAGTAATTTAGCCACAAAATAAGGGTACCATCATGATTTAAAATCGAAGACGATCAATTTTATTGTTTCATACTCCTTTCTTTAAATCTGCAATCGATCTTCAAATAAACACATGAATTAAAAATTCACCAGATAAAGAAAATCCCTGAAAATACTGAAACCTCAATGAGGAAAAGCATGGAAAATGTGGGAATGAAAGATTTTCAAAGATTTTTTCTTAAAAAAAAACCACAAGAAAATGTAAGCGTTAAATTGAGAATTGACCCCCTTTTTTGTCGAAACATATGGTTCAAGAATTTATCTATAAAATTTTTTAACGCGCGTGACCCGTAATTGCAATCAATATGAAGATTTTTACATTAATATGATGAATATGATTATTATAATCGTTTAGGCATTCGGGAAGGAATTCTTCTCAAATCAAAAATTAAGATCATCTTTGTTGCTATCTTCAAAGCTGTTTTGTTATGATAATTTAAAATAAATTTTATGATCTTTAGCAATTCATTAAAATTTGCGCGTAAATTTTTATAAATAATGTATGACTGCGCATATAAGAATGATTAGACTCCAAAATCCCAATAGTAAACCAGATCCTTCCCGACAAGATAACTCGATGCAACAACTTTACCCAAACCTCATTTTAATCTAACCCAGCAACCCAACTTTGCCCTAACTCTAATTCAACGAATTCGAAAGTATGAACCTAGTTCGTCAGGAATTTTGGTTGCCGCTGTCAAATTTTTGCATAATTTCCTTTGGAAATTATACACGAACACAGTTTACAGGATGGGCAAAGCATAACCTCATGAACCTGGAAGTAAATCCATTTACTCCTCATGTTTTGTCATTATCTTGATAATTATGTAATTAAACATAAGAATTTGCAACACGTAATCAGTCTCCTTTATCGATTCAATTGGTCAAACCCTTCCATACTTTCATAGTAATCATAAGAAATTGATCCATAAATTAGGAACTAATGTGATGTCGGTTCAATAATGGTTAGATATATTTTACTTATACGGCACATCACTTACCTGACTCTCATTCTGATTTCCAAAATGAATTTCTTTAACGCTTCCCCTAAAACTGCGGAAACGTTAATATGAGGGATAAATAATTAAAAATTGATTTCCCCGTTATATCTTTCCAAAAAAAGTAGTCAAAAAACCTCTCCTCTTTTGGTGACACAGTTGATCGAGTGAAACTTTCAGTCGCATGTGCGATTTTAAATTCTATTAGTTTCCTTTGGCACAATGAAATCTTCCATTGATTAAATCATGATCGTATGGATTTTCATAGCCAACCATTGAAGACCGGTAATGTCATTCTTCCTTTTCGCTTCTTGAATTTATTTTGGATGCTTAATTTGTTTTATTACAAAGAACCTGAAAACAAAGACAAGATCAAAAGTGTATATATTTATATCAAATTTCATTTTAATCAAAAAAAAAAATATATTATAAAATAAAAATCAAAAAAAAATCTTAATTATAGAATGTTCAACGTTTCTTTTTTTGAATAAGGATTTATTTTTGTAAAAATTAGCGGAAAAATAAAATTTTGATAGAAATATTTTTGTCGTAATATAGGATATATCTAATTACACGGCCGTATATGTCACGGGGAGTCTATTTAAGATTCGACCATGATATTACAATATAGGCTATTACTTATATGAAAATAATTAAAAAAAAAAAAAAAGTTTAATAATTTTAGCAAATATGTTAATTTTAAACTATTATCGTTAATATTATTTAAAAGAACAATTATTAAATGTATTTTCTTTAAAAATGTTGAAAATGAACGTATTGGGTTGATTAAATAAATAAAAAAAATTTAAATTTAAATTATAAACTTTGTAATAATTAAATATCATTGATTTACCTAGTTTTATTAGTTTGTGATGTATTATAGATAGTTTGCATTAAATTTTTGAACTACTAAAATTTCTCGAGAAATTATATCATTTTCATTTTCAATTTCTTCAATATTCCATGAATTAGGGGGCCTAATTATATCGGGTAATCGCCGATAATTTTACATCACTCGCGTGACAAATCCTAACCAATCATGCATTACTTACCGTGAAAATCTCCGATATGATCTGCTCTAGATTGAGTAAATTGTAGATGTTTCCCTTTTCCGCTTATCGTTATTATTAATTCACTTTTATGCATAAAGCATATATGATGTTTAAGTTGCGCAAAAAAATTTAATTGTTCTAATTTCTATAATACTTTACTGTTCTTTAATTTTCCTCTTCCTTTAGCATATATGCTTTATAGTCTATTGTGAATTAATGCTGCATGTAAAAGATAATTGGCCATTATCGACCAACCTTATAAATGGATTTATGATTTATAGGTTATGTTTTGTGATTTTACATTTCCTACAGATTTTAATAAGTTTTATAATAATTTTAATGTAATTTTAAATTTTATCATCTTTATAAATGCTATATACAATATATAACTATTCGAATTAGCAAATTATAAAAGATATTTCATATAGCAATAATTTATATTAATCTTTACAAATTCAATCTTTTTAAAATTTTAAATTTCAAAAATTTGCTTTAATTAAACTTAATGCAAAAAGTATATATTATTACTTTTTCATTTTGTACTAAAATAAGTATGTACTTTACAGAAGTTAAGAATTTAAAAATACCAACATTATTACTACCTCACAAGAGAGTATTTAAATTTCTTTCTAAAAGAATTACATTTAATATATAAATAAATTATTTAAATGATTTTAAATTATTCAAATACTATTTTTTAATATATATTTATTGTTTATAAAAAACTATAAAAAAAAAAAAAAACACAAAAAATAAACTTAATAAAAATATTAAATAATATTAAAGCTTTTTAATTATAATTAAATTAAATATTTAAAAAGTTATATTAATTTAAAATAATTCTGATTTTATTATAAAATCAATAGATCTTTAATAATTAAATTAAAGAAAATTATTTTCTAATAATTTATAAAATATCATAAATTTTCTTAAAGAAAGATTTGCTATAAAAATTAAATTATAAATATAATACATTATATGATCTGTAATATGATTTTAATAATAAACCTCTTAAATACATTAATTTAAAATTTAAAATTATAAAGCTAATTGTATCAATATAATATAATTATATTATATTAATATAATCAATTTAAATTTAGATTATAATACACTAAAATAATTCAAATTGCTTATTCATAATTAAATTTTAAGCCAAAAAACTTAAAGCTTTTATTAATTAAATGAATTAATAGAAATAAATTTATGCATTTAATAAAATAAATTATAAAATATTTTATAAATTAAAAGTAAATAATAAAATATCTAAAAGGTTTATTTATTTAAAATTACTTTATCATCAATAAATAAGGATAAATAAATAAAATATTTCAAAAATTTATTTGTCATAAAATTACTTTATTATTAATAAAAAATAACTCTTAAATTAAAGAAGTAACTTCTCTAATATTTTTCAAAATAAAAGATAAATAAATAAAACTTCTAAATAAGTCAATTTATCTATAATAATGACTTTATTATAGATAAACTGATACTCAAATATAATAAAAAGAAGACTTCTCTATTTTCTCAAAAATTAATTAATTAAATTAAGTAATTTCACTACATATAGCTAACTTAATTAACTCCTTATCATTAAAAATACTCAAATTCTATTGAATTTTTCTTATTATATTATTTAAAAATTTTTATTAATTTTAATAATAGTTATTTATATAATTAAAAATTTTAGTTATTTAATAAAATTTTTATATTAATTACTAATCTATTATAAAAAAAAAATTATATAATAATTATGTAATATTTATATTATAATTAAAGTAATAATTATCTAATTATTGTATAATAGTCTTATAATTATAATAAATATACTAGAGAACTGGAAATATTGTTAAGTCTGAAATAATCTTAATTAAAAAAATATTGCAAAAGCTAATCAGCATTGACTTAATTATTAAGCAAATGGATATTCAAATACCGTATATTTCTGAAAATAAGCATCCTGTAACACGCTCTTTTTATAGTAATTTATTTATTTATCACATGAAATTTATTATATTATTTGTCACGTATATACTAATAAATTCATATATATCATGTGGTGCTTATTTTCAAAGGAATACGATATTTGTAAAAGTATATAATTTTTCACTATACTTTAGATTAAATATTTAAATTATTACTAAATTATTATTATATTACTACTTCATTTCTCTTTTTAATTTTCTTTTTTAATTTTTTTGATATTTTTAATTTAAGCTTATTATATATATAATTATAATTAATAATAATATTACTTTTTTTTATTAATTAATTTGTTTAATATTTATATTAGTTTAATAATTATTATTATTTGCTTTTTAATTTTG